TGAGAGGCTGTGAGTACAGCATAATGGATGAAAGTCTGGGGCCTGGAGCCCAACGGCATGGGTGCGAAGACTGCCTCAGCTACTCACTTGGGGAAACAAATCGATCCCTCTTTATATTGACTGTGGCTCCACCCTGTACCACCTGTGTGGTTTCGGCAGCTTACCTGCCCTCTCAGTGACTCTGGTTCTTTATCTGTGAGTTGTGGGTATTGCTAGTACTGGCTCTATGGTATCTGTGAGGGCTTGGTATCTTATATGCACTGAAAACTGTTAGCTGTTGTCATCAAGCGTGGGAACCTGAAGCATGTTTTTATGTAATGTCCTTTCCACCTTTGTTACTGATGGTTTCCAAGAATTAAAATGCATGCCATGGAAGAAAAAGGCATGCCATTATAATTAATAAATTTTATATAAGTTTAGTTAAATAATTCCATAAAAGGGGATTTAGTGTAACTATTTTAAATAGTGATCTGGTACAAATAACCATATTTTGAGGTCCTTCTAAGTCGGACCTATGATGGGTTCCAAGATGTGCTGGGTGCCTCCAAGACACCTCTAGCAGATCCAAGATTATTATTCAGATGCTTCCACAATTTAGGGGTTAGAGATGCTGAAAACCTAGGAACCAGGCTCATTTGAGGATTGTCCTCGGGCCCAGGCTGCAAGGATGTATTTGTGTTTGAAAGACATTACAATGTAATAATCTATAACCTTGAACAAGTTAACTAACTTCTGAGCATCAGTACATTCATCTTTAAAATAGATATGATAGTATCTACCTTACAAAGTTGTGATGAGGATCTCGCCACCATTAACACAAAATAAGGGCTCAGTAGATTTTCTTACTTCCCACCCTCTTCTCAAAGGGTAGAAATGGCTCATTTAGTAATCCCAGAGAGAGTAAACAGACCAAAACATAGTCAGGGACAAAACTGATTCAAAGTGTGTTTGCAATGGCTATTACTCTAAACAACTCCTGTCTTCAAAGCATTTGACCTAAAACTATCCCTGATAAATAAATGATGTCTTCTCTCTGCTATTCCTACTATAAAGAAGAGCTTTTAGAAAATGTGGGTTCTGCATCTTTACATTGGAGAATGTAAAGAAACTGAGACATTCTAGAGTAGTCGATGCCAGAACTATACGTCTAAGCAAGACCAGCTTGTTGACTGAAAGGAAACAGAAGAAAAATATCACTACCTCTTGAGACTTCGCCTCCCTGACTGTCTTGCTGTTGCTCTGACAGGTATTATTTGACAGATTGGAGAATTAAGAGACTTTGTCATTCATACGTTGCCCAGGATCCATTCATTAAGCTGACTTACTTTCCCTCCTAATACCTAGATGAAAATTGGTTGCACTGAGTAAATGTGGAGTTTGATGAAGGAAGAGGAGGGAAGGTACATCAAGCACCCAAGCAGAGAAAGAGTCTCGATACAGCTGGAGCTGTTGTAGAGAGTAGACGAGAGTCAGTGTTGGCACAGACTAGACTTCAGGGGATGGGATCAGGTGCTCCTAGTATTTAGAAAAACTAATCCCTTCCTTCCTTTACACTGCCTTGTCTTTTGCTCCTAGAACCTATATCATTAGTAGAGCAGCTAATCTATCAATTTTTTTCTAAATTATAACTTAAATAGATTTTCTGGACTAGCCTGGATCTTCCTACCCACCTTCATTGTATATGAGTGAATACATTTCTAATAGTTAAAGATGAACTTGTAAAACCAAACCTGGTCTTAATTGTTACTTGGAGGATATCTAAAATTTCTAATAGCTTAATATGTTCAAATCCCAAATGACCGAAATGAGTTTCTTGTGTTTCCTCTGCATATTTTTGTTATAACTGAATGACAAAAGTTTAAATGCATTTAAATAAAGATTAGAAAACATAATCAATTCCAGTGAAACTACATTTGATTAGAAAGTAAACTTTATAAGTATTGATTTACTTATTATTATAAGATGAGGCACTTATCTCAGTGCAACTCGGGGTTTACATGAACAAGCAGGAAAGATCCATTTATAACCAGAGCCTTTTATGATCCTTATGTGCTGTCGATGCTGCTGTATTGAATAATGTACACTGAAACTCATAATTAAGTGCCTTACCCCAAACCAAGTTCCAGGAAGATTAAAGGTTCAATATTTTAAAACAAAGTAAGCAAACAAAGAAAGAAAAATGAATTAAAGATTTATTAAACTTGGGAGGGGGAGGGAAATTAAAAGTTTATAACTCTTGTAGAAATCACCTAATATAAAAGGTACACGGACATTATAAAAATGCAAAACACCTATATATTTTAAAGTAATAATATATGGCAAGCAAATTATAAAAAACAGCTTTAGCAAATATTACTTTATACAAAGGCAAAGGGTAATTATCTTTATTATATAGAAAATCTAAACCAAATACATACACACACATAAATATACTCTTCAACTATTAGGATTGAGAAAATGCTTGGAGAAATACAATTAGGAAAAATGGTCAACATCATTAGATATTAAGTAACTTCAAAGGAAAACAAAAATACATGCTATTTACTCATCACATTCCTAAATTTTGCTTGTTTTAACAACTTTTTTACAATAATGCTCTCTGTTCCTGGAGATATAGGAAATAAAGTCTTCTCTTCAGTAATGGAGCATTAAACTGCTGTGCCAAGCCATTGGGAAAGTAAGTTGATAACATGAATCAATATGGTCATATTCCCTAAATGCACTGGTTTTCTTTTTTAAACAACACTTAAAAAAATATGGGGGATCGTTTTATGAACTATACAGATGTCTAACCAATGTACTGTGTACTTGAAACTAATTTAAATAAATAAATTTTTAAAATATTCCTAGATGTAAAACAACCTTCATATATTCATCATGATGTTCTTCCTAAAAGTGAAAAATGCTAAACAATCTAAGTGTTCGACGGCAAAGGAAGTATTAAGTAAATTTTAATACAATCATTGCATCTGATATCATAAGGCCTAAAAGTGAAGTTTTTGGTGACCATGTATGAAAAAATATATTCTGTGTGATTTCTATATAGTTAACTCTGTGTGGGAACATTCTGGAAAGAAGCTCACTCAAGCGCTAACAGTGGTTGTCTTTGCTCTACTTGGAGAGACGAGAAGTATGTGAGGTGGTCAAAAATGTGAGATCTGAATCCAAATTGCCTGGCTTTAAATCTGGACTGTCACTTGAATAGCTATTTGACTTTGATATTGACGAGCTATTGGAACTAGACAAGTTTTAAGTTCACTATGATTAGATTTCTCTATCAGTAAATTAGTGGTAAAATAGTACCTGAAGTTTCGTGAGGATTAAATTTACTAACACAGGAAAAGCACCGCCAACAATACCTGGCATATACTAAGACCTCAGTAAGCATTAGCTATTTGCTATTTTGCTATTTGCTATTTGCTAAGTGGTAGAACCAATATGGGCAGACTTTGCCTATACTTTTCTGCACTTTTCAAATCAACTTTTCTCTCTTGAACATATTATTGTTATATTAGAAAAAAGCAATGAATATTTTCCTGAAAACTGGATTAGCTAGATTTTCTAGTCACATCAATTTAGACTCTTAATTGAAATGTCACAATATTTAATCAAAGAATAAATACTTCTTGGTTGCTGAGACCCAAGAGTTGAAATTGGAGTTGCAGTGACAATTGAAGTGAACTTTGTGTCACATTTCATAAGAGAAGAACCCCATTTCATAAGAAGTTAGGATGGCTCAGTTTTCTTAAAGGACTGCTTGCATCCTTTGGAAAAAGCTGTGTCTATCCAGTATTGTCTTGCCCTCCCCCAAACTCTAGCTTTTAGATAACTCAGTACTTCTCCTGTAACATACATTTTAGTAATAGCTG